CTCTGGTGCAAATTACTGACCTCTGTCATCATTTTAAGTGGGGGAACTTGCACAATCGGTGGCTGACTAAATACTTTTTTGCCCCACTGTAACTTTGGTAATCCTGTATAACTGTCAGTGCAGTTTTTATAAATTTGTTACATAACTAGCATAGTTCTTATTCTCAATGTTTTCTTGCCATATTTTTCAGCTGCTTGTCTTGAACAAGTAATCCAATTCTCATCTGTTTGAAGTAGTCATATTTTTTTCACCTCTGGCCTATTCTACAATTTTGCCCTTCCAAGGTTTCCTGCATAATTTCAGCTCACTTATTCAGACCTGACTCACTGAATTGAAGAGTGTCACAAGTGGAGAGAAGTTCAAAAACAGCTATGATAAAAATCTGTTTACTCAATGCTCCAGTTCTTCTTGCATGCAGGCTTGTGACACCCAGAGTTCTCTGATCAGTTAAAAAAAAAAAAACAACAAAAAAAAACGTAGCTATGAATAATAGATAAATAGTGCTTTCAGTCTTTCAGTTCTATGGAAATATGATGGTGGTAATGTCATAATCTAGTTTCAAACCTATTCTAATTAATATTATACTTGTGCTTCAGCCAGGAACCATGATTGAATGGGGCAATCGCTGGTGAGATACGTTGAATTTATTTAAACATATGTCATTTGTCTGAATCTCTTTCAGTGGAAGTGAAAATATCAGAAGTGTTTCAGTGATCTTTATACTAAATAAGATAATGTTTTGCAACAGGGCGAGGGCAATCAAACATAGACAAGAAAACAATGAGGCAGTAGGCGGTTTCTTCACACAGATTGGCCAACTCTATGTTGTTCATCACTTGTGGGGTGAGTAATTAAGCACTCTACACTTAGAACATACCAGTAAGATGAGGTGATTGACTGCTGTATGTTAAAATGTCTGACAAGTTTGGTCTGGCTGAATTTCAGCTAACTGAATGCTCCTCCATACATTCTGTATTCTAATGAATCACTAAAGTTCAGTGTGACGGTTCCAACATAAGCCCGGGTGTGTCAAACATCAACAAAGGATGATTTTACACTCGACATAACATTTGGACTTTTGATTGCATCTTGGAACAGGAAGCGAGTCAATCAAATTATTAAAGGTGTTTTAAGAGTGGTTGTCCATATTTTTAATATCATCTGAACTCTGGTTCAGATGATATTAAAAATATCAAGCCTCTGGGCTAGAATCATAAATTTCACAAATTTTTGAAGCCTGTATTATCTCAATGAAGTAAGGGCATTCAGACAAAGAGCTATGTCAGTGTGTATCTTTAAAATGACAATAGCATGAGGAAATACTGAGACATATTGTTGTATTGCAAATATTTTCCATATGACATGTTTGGCTGTTTTATTCACTGACAGACAGAATGCACTAATACTTGAAATTCAAAACACACGGGAAGAAATATTTGGGTGGCTTTTTTTACGTTGATCAAATTGACCCATATGTGACCCACAAACTACATGTTCGTACCTGAAATGTGGTAGAACAGGAGATTCACATCATGTACTGCACGTGCAGCTGATGAATTTGCAGTAATAGTGCGATCCTATTATGTGAAAATGGATCGGAGTGTTTCCAGCACCTGGTTCAATCTGTGTAGTTAAGAATTGAGTTTTGATGGCAAAAGAGATTCGGCCTGATGTTAGCAAGGTTGCCAGTGAATGAAGTTGAACTAATGAAGTTGCCAGTGACTATAAATTTTATCCACACATAATGCGATGTAATATGTGTGTGTGGTGGGGTTTTTTGCTTTGCTTTTTTCGTTGGAATTTTTTTTCTTTGCCGTCTTTTGATAGCTTACGAAAGCCTCCAGTCCCGAGAGGAGACAAGAAACTCTGCCTGGCGGAAAGAAGGATGGGACGTAAACGTGTATTATACAGGTAAGAAAGAAATGCTTCACCCAGATGCCTTAAAAACCCAATGTTTTTGTCAGGGCTTTATACCTCGCTGATTATTTTTACCTGCAATTATATTCAGCAAAGTTGAGACTCGTAGATCACCAAACTTTTTTAATCATAGATGCCTCCCAACAACTTTCTGCTGAAATGTTTAATGTGGTCTCTGTACTGGATCTGAAATCTGTATTTCTTTGAAGTAGGGCTAAAATAAACCTTCAATGTTTTCTTTAAATGTTTGCCACAAAATCAGAAAATTATATAATGTTGCCTCCCCTCCCCCATTGTTGTTATTGATGGAGATGACAGGATTGCAGTAATAATAATAATTTTTTTTTTTTTAAAAATCGTAATTTATTAGCCATCCATGGTAATGAGACTTAAGCAGTATGAGCATCAAATTATAAAATGATACTGCCCAGCTTGAAGAATTTTAAGAGCTGTATGTTTGTTGTTTGCTTTCCTGTTTGTTTATTATTACAATTGTAATTTTCGGTATATCATTTTCTAACATGTGTCTTTCTGTCTGTCCTCAGTGCCTTTGTTGCAAAGTATGGAGTCAAGAATAATGATTCCAACTAAGAGTTCACCTTTACAATGAGAAAGCGACTGAGACTGCAAATAATTCAATGACCAAATTTTACTAATTGTAGTTTCCATTTCTTTTGTATGATCTGTGTTGTTACTAAAAGCATTGAAGTAAAACTTCTGATTCCATGTTTGTGATATTGCCAAAGTCAAAAGTAGTTGTACAATTTCCAAGCACATTCAGTATGAAGAACATGAAAAACCAAGATTTGCAGGGATTTAGATAAAACACGTGAAGGGGGGAAAACACAAGAGAAAAGGTGTTTGTGCGTTACGGTGTTATTGAGGAATTTTTACCTTCTGATTTAGTGAAGTGAGGTGTGTTTGCTCTGTTTTGATCATTAATTGATGTAACGGAACACATATTGGGGGTTTTGTTTGTTTTCTTTTCCACAATAAAAATTTTTATGATAGTACTATTAAATGTACATGAATGACTTAATGAATGAGATCATGCTAAGTTGCAACAGTGAATCTAAAACAACCATTTGATAAAAAAAATTTAAAAAGCCTGCCTCACTGATTGTACTTGAAAATTAAGTACATTTCAATTTTGCAGAATTGAAATCTACTTAAACAGAATTTTTTCTGTTTATGAAAGTAACAGCTGCAATTATTTGATAAATGAAAACTTTATAATATAAGATCAAATCAATAAAATATGAAGATAAGATCAATCAAGAAACTAGTCAGTGAGTTCACCTGTAGTCTATGGCCATTAAGGTCACAAGAATTTTACTCAGAGGTCAGGTTCAACAAGCATTTCTTTATTGACCTTTGGGCAATGTTACAGACATAGAAATATCCTTTATTGCCCCTACTTGGGAAATTCACATGTTTCAGCACCAAAGTGACAGGAGGATACAGATTCTCACAAAAGTAAAGAATATAAAATAAAAAACAAGAAATGGAAAGCACAGGGCAAATTTACAATGTAAGAAAAAAAATACTGTATAGTTATTAAAAATATACTCAGGCTCAAAGAAATGTGCAGCTGTGTAGGATGGGTTTTTTTTTTTGTTTTTGTTTTTTTACTTTTACAGAAGTACAAAAAGTGCTGTGAAAGTGCTTAAAAACAACAAAGAGAGACTATTTACAGGAAATTGAAAAACTGTGCAAATAACAGCCGTGATGCAAACAACTTATTGTGTTCATTGGGATCAGTGATGGATACAAAGTCTGACAGCTGCTGGGAGGAAGGATCTGTGATAACGCTCCTTTGTGCAGCTAGGATGCAGCAGTCTGTCACTGAAGGAGCTCTCCAGTTCTGCAAAAGATTCATACATGGGGTGGGAGACACTGCCCAAGATTGATTTATTTTGGCCAGAGTTCTTCTGCCTCCTACCACCTGCACTGGGTCAAGGGAGCATCCTAGAACAGAGCTGGTCCTCTTGATGAACTTATCCAACCACTTCCTCCCAGCTGTAGATAAGTTGCTGTTCCAACAGACAACACCACAGAAGATGGATGATGCTACCAAAGAGTCAAAAAAGCTCTTCAGGAGCACACCCTGCACTCTAAGAGATCTCAGTTTTCTCAGCAGGTAGTCTGCTCTGACTTTTCCAGTAAAGGGTATCCGCGTTGTGACACCAGTCCAGATTATTGTTCAGGTAGGGGTACACCCAGGTACTTATAAGAGTCCATTATCTCAATGCTAGTTCCCTGGATGTTCACTAGTGTTGGTGTGGTTGATCTGAAACCCATCATCAGCTCCTTGGTTTTCCCTACATTGATCAGTAGATGATTCTGCTGGCACCAGGCCACTGTCTGTACTCTGGGTCATCCTCAACTTTGATGAGGCCTGCTATGGCAGAGTCATTAGAGAACTTTGGTAGATTTCAGCATGAGTAGTTGATGGAGGGGGGAAAGCAGCACGTAATTATATTTAAAATGGTCCTGATATTGTTTTGTTTACACTCTTGTGAAAAAAGTGTAAATAATTGTAATAATAGTAATAGTGATAATTATTGTAATCTTTTGTTTTAGTTGTGCATTCAAACCCGCTAAATGAACAGAAACTATTATGAGAATATTTGATGGCTTTTATTTTTGAAAACAAAACCGGAAGTTGTCACAGCTCGTTTCACACACACCCTGCGTGCATGTGCCAAGCATCGGCATAAACCTGTAGCTTTAAGAGGAGGGGGCGTGTCTTTTCTAGGGCTGTCCCTTTATTTGAATATACAGTAGTTAAGCGGGGCTGGCGTATGGTTGCGTCGCATGTTTTTCTCTTTTCTGAGAGAAGCACCAGCGTGACGTGGGTTTTTTTATTCGGCGGAAATACTCATGACCTATGTCTCTTTAACATTTGAATGATATCATCCAGCTAGGAAGGCGTCTTCTCCGCCGCATGCAGAAACAGAGCAGTGGAGAGGAACTGCTCGCAACCAGAAATATGGACTTGCACATATTGGACCACAGGCTGAGGGTCACCAGTATATCCAAGAATGGTCTGGTGAATTTCACACACCCACTGATAAAGCTGATATTTCTCCGGAACAGGACACGGTAAGGAGATTCATTGATCGGGCCAGATGGTCATGTCGCTTTGCTTTACGAATCAGCTTTGGTAATCCAGTACGGATATATGAGATAACCTACAGCGCCTCTTCATTAACTGGGTGGCCGAGCTATTACTGGGCGATTTGCCTGCACATGCTTTGCCTCCATGAATCATTCACAACAGTGCATGTAGATGTAAAGAATTGCAGTAGCTTTTGTTTTTAGACATTCTGTTTTATAGCATTTGCACAAAAATCTGCAGCATTTAAACTGAATTTTTGTGCCCTGCATACCTTTAATACGCGATTCTTCCAGTGGGCACAAAATCAGCTTTAATCAAACTACTTCAGAAGCGTGCAGTACCGTTGTGTATTTTGGTTGGATCCCGTCTCTCCGAAACAAACTTAATACATGACATCCTGCGCTCGAAACCAACGTTCAGTCTGCAAATTTTTCTCATCTCACCCAGGCATTAGTACCAGTTTTCAGCTAATCCCTGGATATCCCTCCATTGTTATGCAATTGTTTATTCTTGCGGCTGGCCCACATATAAATGACCAAAAGAAGAGATCGGCATCTGTCTTCAGACCACCATGATATAGGCCGTGCGGGGTTCAGCTGCAGCTCTCGTGTTGAGTAACAAAGAACCTGTAAACGACTGTCTAGAAAGCGCTTCCTTATGTCATCGCCTTTCTGGATTCTGAAGTCTGTACATCACACCATACTCTGAAAGGTTCTTATGATGTACCTTATTTTGGCTTCCTCTTAAAAAGAGAGCAACGTTTTCATTATTTGGGGCAGATGGGCAGTAAAAGTGCATTCTTACAAGACCATAGAGAAGTTACATCTAACATAAATCCATATGTCAAATGCATCTCTGTACATGCTCGATTGATTTCATCTGTACTTGGTTGAGTATTGGGTAATGGAATAAGTTTGACATGTTCAAACTAGACACACTGTGTCATGATGACTTATTCTACAGTACTGTAGAAAGTAAATAACATGTCTCTGTGAATAATCATAGATGTGTGGGATTTGTGTGAGGAAGGCATTGGGCAACCGGTTAACAAGAAAATCCATATAAATATATAGTTACTTTTAAATACTCACTTGAAAGGTATAAACATTTTTTGAACAGGTTTAGTGAAGCATTCAGTATATGTTTAAAAAGTAGGCGAAGCACTGAATAAACCAGAAAGGGCATTTTGATCATGCTTTGGAGTTATGTCACCATTGTTTTTCCTGTTTCTTTTTCCATGAGCAAGAGGGATTTTTTTTTTTCCACCTTTTGGTCAAATACTAGGTGATGCGGAATGGGGAGTGGTGGTGAAGTTTGTTTTTAGTTGCTTGATTTCAATCGGGGAGCAAAAACAAGCCTGATTGCTCCGGGACACTTTTAGCCATCTCCCTTTTTCAGGCCTCTGCTATTCATTTGTGAACAACTCCCTGTGCAAAGCGATTTGAACGCAGCTCTGAGCAGAATTTTAAGGAGGTAATCACATGTGGCATAGTGGATTTTTCTTCAGCGTCCATTCGCGTTGGAGCTTACTATGTCTATAGTGCAGAGGCTAAAAGTAGTGAAAGGAACACTTTTGCCTTGTCTACAAAAAAATATTCATATGATGGAATAAAGTGTGCACTATTAGCTATAATATTACTCTGTAAATGTCAGTGTTATTACCAACTTAAACATAAATGTCAAATACTCTGTTTTGCAGAATATAAAATATCTAAGTTATCAGTGAATTCTCCTAGAATGGCTGAAAAAATGTGCACCTTGGGCTTCTAAGCCATTCTAGTCTTATTAGTATTCTGGTTTTGTCTTTAGTAGTTGTTTACACTTTGTAGGTAGAGTAATAAACAAAGCTCAGCATCAGCTCAATATATTGTTCTTCCTGAATTGTGGATGTAGCCCCGCAGGCTCCACACAGTCCTCCTTTCTTCTCTTTGGCGGCTAACTAACAAGAGCATGGGTTGGAACAATACTTCAGCCGAGCCAGAAACCCGGTTGGGAGTTTTCCACTTGTCTGCTTCAGTGATCCGTCAAGGTTGGGGCTCCCGCTCCTCCTGTTTACAGAGGACTTCCCACACCCCGT